ATTTAAAACTTGATTGTACATGTATAATTGAAAAATGTATTTTTTTTTCTTATTATTTTATACTGTATTGGATTATATTTTCGAATGTATATGACTTTTTCACATTTTAGTGCATTTATATATTGATTAAAAAATTTAAAACATTATTTAATTAAATATTAATAAACAATCTTATTATTGCGACTATCAGAGACCGCCCTACCTGACTTAATATCCTAGATCCGCCCATGTTCCTAACATCTTTAAAAAAACACACACACACGCACATATATTCAAATAACGAAGGAGGTGTTGGATTTCAAATAAATATTATTTTGAAAAATAATATTCTCCTTCAAAAGTTATAAAACTTGGAAACTCGAGGAGTTCTGTCTACAGACTGAGTTTTAAGTGAAACCGTTTGTCATCCCTCCAACCAACCTGAAAACTGAGTATTTTGAAAAGATACTAGACTTGAGGTTGGGTTTACACCCTTTTAGTTTTCTTTGAAAATTATTTGAAAGTACTATTTAAATATTAATTTTCATCGAGTTTGAAAAATAAGCATATTTTCGTGATTGAAAAAAATATAATAATTTTGAAACGGTTTTGGGGGAAAAAAGCATAGTTTTCAATTGAAAAAATTGCATTTTCTTCTAATGCCAACTAGATACTTCACGTAAACTGTCACCTTACAACTGTTCCATCATTATAATTGATAAATAATATTACTTTTTAAGAAATGGGTATTAAACGCGGGCTTAGTGTTTCTATGGGAGAGATTATTTGAAGTGAAAAATAATTTTTTTGAAAATATATTCTTAGAAAGTAGGAAAAAATATAGATTTACGTGTAAAATTATTTCATTGTGGTTGAAAATGAAATTGAAGAAAAATGATTTTCATCCAAACAAACCTTAACATTTCGGTGAAATGTAATAGTATTTCTGAACTTAACCTTATAAAGGGACTTTAGAAGCTGACCAACATTGATCTATCCTAAGGTATGAGAAATAAAATCTGTGTAATTTTTTAAGTAGAACTTAGCGGTAACAGAAAAGATCAGAGGCTCAGACGGCTCGAAAAAAGCTCGAGCTGAGTCCAACTCGGGCTAGGGCCAAGCCCCACTTTAGGGAGTCAGCTCGAGCCCGGGCGAGCCTCCTTTTTAAANCAAAAAATTCGAGCCGGCTCGGGTCGAGCCTCATTTTTTTTTGTCTGGCTCGGCTCGGCTCGGTCTAAAAAAGTTCGATCCAAAAAAATTCGTTTTTTCGGTTCGACTCGTTGACATCGCTGGTGAAACTTCAAACCAAAGAAGGAAGAAAAGAAAAATTGTTCAATTTTCAAACACGGCTGAATCAGTCCAATGTCCATACCACCGACCTAGTTGATTACGACACCCATGACGTAAAAACACAAATGTGGTTCTCATTTTTCAGTCTGACCATTTCAACTTAGATTTTTGTGTCACAAATAGCCAACTTGCCATTTTGATTACGTCGCAGGTGATGCAAAATGAAAGCAATAAATGGCTCTTGTTCAATCTAAATAACATTTAGTCAAACAAATTACAAGAATCATGTAAAATACAAATTTGTACAAATGAAAACTTCACCGTATATTGAAAATACAAAAGAATGCCATTATTATGATTTTATAATTTATAGCATATTTAATTTAAAAGTTCCAAGTGTTACTATTTATCCACCTCAAATTCATTCTTTTTAATTGAGCGCCTGAATGAAAGTAAAATTTAAATTCAAATTCAAATTTTTTTGTTTGTTAAGTTATAAAGAGTGAATATATTTTTTGTTTTAGCTAAATTTAATTGTATTAACACATTCCAACAAGTTTTGGTGGAAAAAAATTGTGATCCTTGTAAATAAAAAGGTTGACTCACTTTCAATGTTCAAGTGGATGAAGATGAATTGGGTCCTATCTCTCTTTTTTTACATTGACCTTTGAAATTCTTGACTATACATGCGTAGCATGCGACCTTTTTGCCCCTTGATGTCCCCAAAGTCTCTTTTTGACCTTTGCATTAATTCTTCAATCCATATATAATAAGCATTTCTCTTATCACCCAACAAGACAACCTATGACAAACAAGAAACTTTTTCTCTTACAAAAATCTTACAAGTTACAAAACCTTTGCAGAATGAGTACTACGAATAAATACAAAGGCATTCGACGTCGAAAATGGGGCAAATGGGTGTCAGAAATTCGAGTTCCGGGCACGCAAGAACGTCTCTGGTTAGGTTCTTATTCAACTCCTGAAGCCGCAGCAATAGCACATGATGTTGCATTTTATTGTCTACGAGAAACTTCATCACCCGAAAAACTCAACTTTCCTTCAATGTTACCGGCAAGTGCCCGGACAGGATTGTCACCTAGGTCGGTGCAGAATGCGGCCTCAGATGCTGGCATGGCCATGGACGCTCAATTATCTTCGAAAAACAAATTATTCATAAGTGAGTATTGTGAACCACCAGGGGAGTGGAGTGGTCAGTCTAGAGAAGGTGAAGCTTTGAGCATTTCAGTTGAAGATTATCTATAGATCGGTTCTTCAAACTTTTCTAAATGTGAAGGTCATTTTTAGTCATAGAAATATATACGTGGTTTCTCACAGAGAATACAATACTTTCCCGGGGAACTCCACTGCATTTGCAGCTCAAAGTTTTACTTGCAAGTACAAATAAAAATAGCATTAAATTAAGAATGTTGAAGTTGACGAATGAGACTCAAGTTTAAAACCTCCAGACCATCGAGCCAGCCATAATTATATAAATAATTTATAGGAAAGGAAAGAAATATTTTCCTTCCACTTGGTTAATGGACATCACCTATGTTTTTCTATTTTCATCAAATTTACTATGTAAAAACAGTAATATTGGTTCGTGCAAAAAATCCAAAATCGCCCTTGAAAAACATGCATCAGCTCAAACTTCGCGCATAATTTTAACTATATTGTTCATCTTGTTAAGTCTATGTGTGTATTCATTACTATACTAACATATATTTCCTCTCTCAATCTCAAAGAATAACGAATATTCAACATGAAATCCTACTTTTAAGTGGACATTTTGACTTTGACATTGGAAATTCTTGACTTTATACGTACATTCATGCCCTTACATATCCCTAAAATCGACTTTGACCTTTCAATTCTTCAACCTACATAAACACTTGCATGCCATCTCTCGTATCGACAGTCTGATTTCACAAACAAGTTTTTTACTATGTTCAGTAAAAGTTAACAAAACACTTGCAGAATGAGTAGTGTTTCAGGTGAAAGTAGGATTCATACAAGCATATCCCAAAAGAAATACAAAGGCATTCAACGTCGAAAATGGGGCAAATGGGTGTCGGAAATTCGAGTTCCTGGCACACAACAACGTCTCTGGTTAGGCTCTTATGGAATGCCTGAAGCTGCAGCAATAGCACACCACTTTGCATTTTATTATCTTCGAGGAATTTCTCACCGGAAAAACTCAACTTCCCTTTGAGCATGGACTGGAAATTGCTATTCGGTAATGCGGGATGAGTCTGATCTAGTAATGCAAGAGCACATTTGGCGTGCTAAAGCACATGAGATTCAGTATATATATATATCTCGATAAAACAATTCAAAATGAATTGATACAGTTGTTGGCCGATGAAGTGAGAAATTCAATTGTCAAGAAAGTTAAACATGTAAAATATTTCTTAGTTATCCTTTATTGTATTCCAGCTGCAAGTCACGAGGTGTATAGATGATTCAGCAAAATTACCGATAGTAGGAGAATATTGGCTTGCATTTAGATGATACATCAAAACTTAGACTTGCAACCGAGTTTCAAAAGGTTTTAATCAAACATTGATCTTGATATTGATGACATTAGAGGGCAAGGGTATGACAACATATCTAACATGAGCGGAGGGCACATAGGTGAACAAAGAAGATTACTTGACATGAATCTCAGAGCTTTCTATACTCTATATGGCTCTCATAGTCTTAATCTGACATTATATGATATGGTGAATTGTTATCTTGAAGCTATATCATTTTTTTTCCAATGATATCACACATTTATACATTGTTCTCCTCTTCTACCAAACAATGAATTTTTTTCAAAAATAACATATAAGGTTTGACAGTGAATCCATTGTCAAAAACAAGTTGGGAGCGTCATGTTGAACGTGTCAAACCTTTCAACAGCAAACTGCACAAATAAGAGATGTTTTACTTGACTTGACAAAAATTAACGAAAATCCTAAGATAAAGATTGAAGCGTCGTCCTTAGTAATATATGGACTTCAGAATTTTGAGTTCTTGCTTGACATGGTAATCTAGTACATATTGTAGAATTCTTGCATGGAATCAAGAAGTGCTACAATATTTGAAGAAATTGAATGGTTGTTTTCTAAATGCTTATATTGCTTACAAAATTTTGTTAACCATACATGTTACAGTTGCATCTATAGAAAGAATTTTCTGCAAATTGAAGTTGATTAAAACTTATCTCGGATCAACTATTTTACAAGAAAGATTGAATGGATTGACTATATTATCATTTGAGAAAAAAATAGTTGAACAACTAGATTATTCAAATTTGATTAATGTTTTGCCTCTAAAATCACAAGGCGAATATTATTTAACTAATCATTTGGAACATTATCGGCCTTTTGTTGTTTGATTATAATATAATTTTTTTGTTAATACATTTTGTTTTACCGTTAAATTTTAAGTTAGAAAATTAACAACTGATTTCATAATAAATTTGCAGATTTTGCATGCATACCTAATTTTTTAAGTTCGTTTTAGGACCCAAAAATCACAGGACTCTACTTTGATGCTACCATCAAGTGCCCAGGAATGTCCGTGTAGAAAACAACCTTGGATGCTGGCATGGCCATTGACGCTGGCATGGCCATTGACGCTCAATTAACGTTCACAAATGATAACTTTATACACTTATCCAGACCTTAAAATATAGGTATTATGTAGTTCTTTTAATGAATTATAGTCTAATTTATTGTATATTCCATTTATTGGATAATACTTAATGATTGCGAGCTAAATTCAAAGAAAGAAACAAAAATTGGGAAAAAGTTGCAATCATTCAAAGCCTCGTTCTCAAGCAAGGACCTCACATTCGCCTTTACAATTTTTCTCAAAGTTGATTCATATCCTCGTCCTCAATATATCGCAGCCCTGCTTCGAAAGTCCATGCATCATAGGAATATTCATACATGGACCTTGGGAGACTACTGTGTTTGTAGCAAAAATCTTAAAAATTTGCACTACGGGAAGATAATAATTTCCAAGTCAAAGCATCACAGCCTTACTTTGAAAGTTCACGCACTATATAAATAGGATAAATCTATATGTACATAATTATTGTATATAATGGATTACATAGGCCCATGTGGAAGAATTCCGGTCGTGAATGTGAAATGTGAAAAAGTCAAAAATTATAGACTACCGATTGATACGCGCGACATGTCAATTATGTAATATATTATGTAAATGATTATAATGTACCTGTAGCACAATCCATATAAATATCCATATATGGACTTGGAGAACTATTGTTACGCCTCTTACAAAGAGGCTCCAGATCATCATCAACGTGCCAACCAACTATGCAAATCAACAAGGCCTATATTCCATGTCGCCCTGCACCACTGAAGTACTGAGGTGAAGTGGCACTTGCATATCCGTTGTTCGACCTAGACACCGAAGTAATATGCCTCGAAGGGATATACACCGAAGTGGTAAGAGGTGGAACGACGTTGTTGGAACACTATCATGTTGCATCATCTCTATTAACAGTCACAAACTTCACTCATTAGGAGGTATTAAATGCCCGCCCATCTGGGGACTTGTTGATTGATAATGATACCTAAGAGGTGATGCCTCGACCAGCAGTTGCGGCCACGTGTCCCTCCATCCAACGGTCCCAAATCCACCTCTTTCCCTATAATTATGCATACTTAGTGCATAGGTAATGCAATTCTGACATTTAAACATACACTTTGCTATATTATCTTATTCTTTATTCACCGTTCACAGACTTGATCGTTGGAGTGTCCGTGGCCGCCTGGAAAGGGCCATGAGTGACTTACTGTTTGTTATCATGCATAGAAAAATATCTACATTGAGCATTTACATGATGGCCATATTACCCTTAGAGTCCGTTTGATTGCAAGAATGTAATTTGAGTAGAAAGAAAATGAATTTTAGGGAATTGAATTGTTTAGAAAACCACAAACCACAAAACCCATGGGAAAACCAATTCAAGGAAAATGTGTAAAATGGGGTCATATGAGGTATAAGTTAGAAAACCAATTGCCTAGAAATTTTTTTCTATCAAACAGCCTAAAAGGCGGAAAATGAAAAATAATTTTCAACTTTCATGAAAAATTCTTCCTATCAAACTTGGCCTTACGGAAATTGAGATCAACAACTAGCTCCATTTCTCATGGGCCCTTTCACATTATAGGCGAAACCTTCACCTCCACTCTATTCTCCAAAAAAAGGGGGGAAGGAAAAACAATTCTAGATAAATAGGCATGTCCCATCCAAAAGTAATCTAGTTTTGGCATGTGCGTTTGCATGATGTTTGGATGTTATTTCAAGATTGTATGCTTTTTTTTTTTAATTCATAGATGGCTTCAAGTATTGATCATTAATTTAGTTATAATCTTGAGGACTATTTTGACACGTGAATCCATATTTTTTATGGTTTTAATCTTGTGCAAAATAATTTTCAAAACCAAAATCAGCTGCTAGAAGGATATAATGATTCAATAAAAAAATTATATCAAATTCCTTCATGAGTTTTGCAGAGGTTTTATTGAATCACAAAGTGAAAATAAGACAACAATTAGTTAAGCAGATAAGTAAAAAAATGGCTACATTTCACATAATAGATTTAAGTGCTATTTTTCTGCAATTTTTTTCCAGAACTCAAACACTGGCAAGTTCCTCTATGTTCATAGGATAAACCATTTCCTTGCTTCCATTGAAAGCCTTCTGCCCAAATAATACGTTTACAGCTTCTGTTGGGTGAAAAGCGTCCCAGAAAATGTACTGTCTCCTGTCAGCACATGGTGTCTGGAATGGAAGACAAGTAATCTGCCCTGCGTTTCTCCCAATGCCACAGCACCCTTGATTTATAATACTGAATCCTGGCGTAAACGAATAAGGGAAAAAAATATATAATGATCTAATGCGCACCAATGCATCTTATGTTAAGCACTGATGACATATTTTATCAATCTACTGATGGATAGCAAATTTAAGTAGTAAGGATCAACATAAAGACGATTGAGCCAATTTGATATTTTTGTATTATCGCCACAAAGAAGAGCATTCGGATTTTATTTTTTTTATTCTTTCATACATTCAGATAAGATTGAATCAGACATAAAATGTTGATATCCAATAATTAATTAATACATGCGATGAGCATCTATACTCATTAAATTATGTATGTATTTATGCATGTATGTATGTATATAGATTAGTAGAATTTACGTACCATATGATCCAGCATTGGTAAGGAGATCCTGGAACATGTTGCGAATGTCAATGTAAGAAAATTTAGAACCGGGTAAGGTAGCACTGAGATTGTTGATCATTGCCTTCGTATTCGTGTTGAAGGGAATGAGAAGTTGGTTCACTTCCTCAGAACATATACCATTTGAATTTTGTGCTAGAATGCTTGGAATGCAACCCATTAAACCAAGCCCTGAAATCACAAATTTCCTAGCTCCCAGGTTGTAAAGCCTCTGCAATTGTTCAATAACCAAGAAACGGAAGAAAAATGTGAAATAATGAGCGTTTGACTATATTAAGGAAGAAAATATAAGATAAGATCTTGTTCATTATTAGAGAATCTTACATTGAGTTGCTGGGAATACTGCGTAACCAGGAGGTCTGCATATTTTTGAGGGTCATACTGATCTTTTGTGGGATAATTTGGCATAAGGTAATTATTGAGGTAGTCGTTACTGCCCATTCCAACAAAGAAAATGCATTTAGAAAGCGCCTGTGCCGCATCTGCTGCACCAAGAATGTCTGTAATTTGATCAAGTGTGTTCTCAAAGTTACTAATCTGCTGATTGAACGGAATTCGGCCAACCTGAAAGAAGCAAAAAATATCCCGATTGCAGTGTTTTTTTGGATATTAGTCTATGCCTTCTAATTTGGTTGATGGCAAGTTGAACAGAGCAACTATTCATTAAGAAGTACAGAAAGTACTTACAAAGTTTCTGCCTGTAATGTCAAGAATACCAGCAGCAGCAGAGGCATAATTAACTCCATATCTCATTTGATCACCAGATACATCAGTGTATGCAGGAATTAGAGGCAGTCCAAGCAATTCAGCTGCAGATAAGGGCATAAACTCAGTTTAAAGAATGCATAACTAATAAGATAAATTGCCATGGAATTTTTCAGTAATTACATGTCAATATCCCAGTAGTCGCAAATAATGTTCGCTAGGTTTCTTAGATAGCTCAAAGTCATGATAGATTGCTCTCTATCTTGGTCATAATAGATAGTATCTTTAAATTTAAAAAAAAAAAAATATATATATATATATATATATATATACACACACACACTAACAATGCTCTATTTTTACTCTTCATTTGTTTTTTTCCTCCATTTTACTTATTTTTTAACCACACATCCTCCAAAAATCATTATTCCAAAATTCATTTTTCCCCAAATTTCCATTAAAATGGAGCCCAAACAAGGGCTAAGCAACATAGTATTGAGTTCTGTAACTCATTAAAAGTAAGAATATAAGAGTCTCTTGAAGCTTATTAGAGCATTGATTTTATAAAATAGAGAGCATATTGTATTTGACAAAATCTCTTGAATGTATGTTGTTAGAGGTGTAAAGTTAGATCCTGGTTCCTAAAAAGGTCAACCATATCGGGCCAAGGCTCTTGCCGACTCTAACCCTAGCTTTTTGCTTGCCATCAGATTTGGACAGCCCTACCTACACTTCACACCCCTATGCCTTAGCTATCAAACACAATGCTTGCTTTTACACGGGTCATTGGATGAGCAAGTGTGATGCACGTGTCTTGCACATATCACAACATACATCCAAGGATCTAATATATAAACATGGAATAATAGGATTTTCTCCATTTTTAGGCATCAATTTTTATGTTTTTTTTCCTTGGCGGTTGATGGTTCATGATTCCTTATTTTGGAACTTCTTGACAAGTAAAAAAAAATCAAAGTATTAAAGAGGAAGGTGCCAATCCCACTGCCACTGCAATATAACACCAAATTCTCATAATTTCTCTCAGGACATTTTCTTAAATGCCACATTCTTTAAAAATGTTGAACCCCAACCTTGAAAGTCCTATCCCTCCCCTATAGCATTGTGGAGGAGGTAAATCGTTGGATGTACCTCAACAGACCAGGGTACAAGAGCTTCTATACTGGTGCCACAAAGAGTCCAATTCCATACCTTGTAAGAGGTAAGAATCGAACTCTCACACTGCGGCTGTCAGCACAGCTGAGATTACTTGACTCATGTCATTTGCACCACTGAGATAGTGAAAACAAAGTCTAAGTCTAAGCAAGGTTAATAGACCAGAAGAAATAGTTTGAATTTCTCGACCCTGTTTTATTGACAAGGAATCAGAAAAAGTGAAAATGAAAATGAAGTTGTTTACCAATTGTATCAACCATGGTATAACCATTCGAAAATCTTCCAGTCGGCCCGCCATCAAAATCAATGCCGTAAGGTAAATAGTTGGCTTTAGCCAAAGTAGCCAGATTATTGTTGTTCCCATTGTCAATGAGAGAGTCTCCAAAAATGAACATGGCTGGCACCATCTCGCTTCTTCCTCCACCATCTTGACCTCTTCCAAGACCTATATTATTACTACTCCACACCAAGAACAGCCCAAAGAGAATGCTACAAAATCTGAACTCAGCCATTTTTGCTTTTCTTGTATCTATCTATCTCTGCGTGTATGTATAGAGGGAGAAAGAGGATTTTTTAGAGAGAGTTGCTGTGGTGATAAGTGTAGAGAGTTGAGGGTGGTGGAGGGATTAATAGGTGGAGGAAGGAGGTGGTTAGGATGTAGTAAATGAACTCACATGTATGCTATCTGTTACAGTAAATACTTACTGATTGAATTCTCTAAGATTTTCTTTAAAGATAAATGGTATGAACATTATGGTCACAATTGATTTTCAAAATGGTATTAATTTTTTTTTTTTTTAATAATTTCATTTAATACTTTCTCAAGGACATAGCTGTTGACTGTATGTTTATTGCATTTCTATATATGTTTTCTCGACAGTCCATGCTAGTTGTGCCAATTTTTTGGTCATAATTTGACGAAATCAACCATAGAATCGAATGTACGTACAAGCTTGATCATCAGTGAATTTACTTGTAAAAAAATTAAATTCAGAATGCATGATAAAATCTTTTAGGGCAACAATTTCTATTTCCCATACAGTTTGACTTGTTGAAAGAATTTATACTCTCTGTTTAGTCAAATCGTATTGGTGTGTGTAGCCCTCAATGCATAAGAAGTCAAAGTCTCTTGATATTTTATTGAAGAAAATAGTAAAAATTTAAGTCAGTTATGTTTACAAGGCGAATTAGGATGGAGTTGTATTTAAGCGTTGACTAGATAACCATTTGAAAACGTAAATTGGGGCTTAACGCTTCATGGCAAAACAGGTATGTCGTGTCCTCTCGAGTCAAGAATTAAAACCTCACACAATTACTAAACAATATGCTTTTTTCTCGGGTCTTTCTTTGTTTATGGTTAGTAGATTGACCATTTACTAGTTTAAGTTCATGTTTGTGCTTGCATAGAAGTGTTATAAATTCTTCCACCTACATCCTCAGAGGAAAAAATGAGAGACTAGAATGATTGGTATCCATGGGCGGCTCCATTGATGAATTCATGGTTCCATTGCAACCTCATTAATTTTTTTTTCTAACGGTAAAAGTAAAACAACACTGTCACACTTCCCTAGAAAACATAGGTTGCTATTTTACTCGTTATATTGAATGTTGCATGGAGTTGTGTGGCTAGTTACAGTTGAAATGTAGTTGCAACCATTTATTAGGCACCAAGTATAAGTGAAAAATAATAATGTTTTACGTATGAATTGGTATGATCTCACATAACGCGGGTTCAAATGATAAGATCAATTAAATATAGCACTACTCAATAAAAAATATTGTTTATTATTTGTTTTGGGTGGGAGTGGAGCCGAAGAACAAAGTATTTGAGTACAAATAATGCTAGCTATCAGTAATTGCAGTGGAGCAATCTAGGTGGAAATGGAGTTAACACTTCACGATTTGTATTCAATTTTTTGTTTTATGTGGGCTCCATGATGCATCTATTTGTCTTTGTGTTGTCAAACCTTATTTGCTATTGTTTTGGTTTGACATTATCTGGTTTATTTTACAAACTAGACATTCTCATTATCATTTTATCCTTAAAAAAGTTTTGACTTGTTATGTTCACATTCACGACCATTCTCAAGACCTGTTATAATTGACTCCGTGCACATCGAGTGATTCAGCAAAAAGTCAAGAACGGTAAAAGAAGTTACCTTAAAATGCATTCTTGCATATCAAAACGTATGAACATAGGCAGAAGAATGTAAAATTCAGGATTGAAACCTTAAAATGTAAAACCTTAGTTTACCCGATCGATTGATCCCTGAAGCAGTACAAATTTCCGCACATGACTTAATGATCAACATATTTTTACAATTTCTACTTGATTAATTTTTATCAATATTTTCAGCCAATGAATGCATTATGTTTTGGACATGTCAAGCTTGAGGAGAAAAATTATTGAAACCTTGAAGGGCTTGTCTGTGATATTTATTGTAGAAGAGCTTCCTTACTTTGTGTCTATTTAAACACGCTCAAAAGCAAGTTCTCAGAGCATCTCCTATGCATCATGTGGATTGAAGTGTGTGTACCAATTAAGTAGACGGACTTCCAGTCTACATTGAAGGGTTATTTGGTTTCCTGGTTGTTTTAGGATTATTGCTGATTGGGTTTTAGTTTCAGTTTAAATAAGTCCCTAGTCTTTAGAAAGTTATTCACAGCTTTGACACTTTCTTGTAGGATTGTTGTTTTGATTTTTTCCTTGTTGCATCTACCACGTTTCTGTAAGCGTGGGCTGCTTTCTAGCTATTTTGTTTATTTATGTAAGGCTATAAATAGCCACTGTTATTCAATAAAGATTCAAATCATTCAATCCAATCCTTGTGTTTGAGTTCTTTGTTCTTTTTCTCATTTCCAACAAACTGGTATCAGAGCTCTCACTGGCCTGAAAGAAAAGCCGCAGCCCTTTTGAGTGATTTTCAAAACACAGAGTGAGGAAGTGAAAAGATGGCAGCAGAGTCAAGTAATTTTGTTCAACCTTGCATCCCAAAGTTTGATGGGGATTGTGAGCATTGGAACATGCTAATGGAGAATCTCCTACGTTTAAAGGAGTATTGAAGTGTTATTGAGACAGGGTATGTAGAACTTACTCCTGGATAAGTTTTAACTGGCGCACAGAGAAAAACCTTAGAGTAGACAAAGTTGAAGGATTTGAAGGCCAAGAATTATCTTTTCCAATCCTTTGCACAAGTCCATTCTGAAGATAATTGCTCAGAAGGAGACGGCAAAGCAGTTGTGGGATTCCATGAAGGTCAAGTACCAGGGAAACGCTAGGGTGCAGCATGCTCAACTTCAAATTCTTCTCATGAATTTGAAGTGTTGGAGATGAAAATTGGTGAATCTGTCACAGATTACTTTGTAAGAGTGATGCTAGTGGCAAACGATATGAGGAATCTTGGAGATAACATGTCTGATGTGAAGATCGTTGAGAAGATCTTGCGCACACTTGCTGAGAAGTTCAACTATATAGTTTGTTTGATTGAGGAGTCGAAAGACATCAATCGTCTTTTAGTGGATGAACTTCAGAGTTCACTACTTTTCATGAACAAAAGTTCAGAAAAAAATGAAGGAGATGATCAAGCACTAAGGGTCTATGAAGAAAGAGGCCGATGAATAAGCAATTACAGAGAAAGAGGTCGTGGAGAGGACAAGTGTTCAATAAGGCCACGGTCGAATGCTTCAAGTGTCACAAACTTAGACATTTCCAACATGAATGTCCAAGTTTGAACAAGGAAGACAATTACGCAGAGCTAAATGAAGAAGATGAGATGTTGCTAATATCATATGTTGAATCGCATGAGGTGAAACGGAATGATGTGTGGTTTCTTGATTCAGGATGCTCCAATCATAAATGTGGAGCATGGGAACATTGATAAGAGAGGCTTGTCAATCTTAATTCAGGGAGAAGTCTGTAAAATCTACCATCCAGAGAAGGGTTTAATCATTCATACCTTAATGAGCGCTAAAAGAAAGTTAATTCTGCTAGCACAGACTCAAGTTCAAGTCCCTACACAAGCTCAAGTTCAAGTACCTTTTGCTTTAAAATGTTTAAAATAATGGTGGAAAAGGACACATAGATGTTCGTGAAGTGTTTACGGACTGATAGGGGAGGAGAATTTACTTTCAACGAGTTCAATGAGTTCTGCAGGCAAAAGGGAATCAAGAGGCAGCTCACCACGGTATACACTCCACACCACAATGGTGTAGCCGAAAGGAAAATCAGAACAGTGATAACATGGTCAGATCGATGCTTTCTGACAAAGGAATTCCTAAGACATTTTGGTCGGAGGTAGTGAATTGGACATTTTATGTTCTTAACAGATGTCCGACATAGACAGTGAAAGAGATTACACCAAAAGAAGCATGGAGTGGGATAAAACCCTTGGTAGATCACTTCCGAGTCTTTGGTTGCTTGGCTCATGTACACATTCCACATGTGAGAAGAGGTAAGCTTGATAATAAAAGTTTTCCTTGTGTATTTTTGGGAGTTAGTGAGGAGTCAAAGGGGAATAGATTATTTGATCCTATCACTAAAAAGATTGTAGTAAGTGGGGATGTGGTTTTCGAAGAAGAAAAACAGTGGAATTGAGATGTATCTTATGATAAGCAAATTCTTTTAGACTTAGATTGGGGTGAGAATGAAGAAAACGGTGAGGTAGATAGGAAGAGTGATGGCGAAGGTGAAGATGCTAATGATGGTGAGGAGAGAAACAATGGTGTAGAGATTGGTGAGGGAGATAGAACTAGAGATGAAGTAGAGGAAGATGCAGGGAGGGTAAGGGGTCCTCTGGTCAGGATGCAAGATTATGTTACTGGGGAAGGATTATCTGAAGATGAAGCAAACATGGCATTAGTTGTGTTAACTAATCCTATTCATTTCGAAGAGGCAGTAAAGAATGCAAGGTGGAGACGTGCTATGGATGGTGAGATCAATTCCATAGAGAAGAACAAGACTTGGTCACTTACTGAGCTACCGGTTGGAGCGAAAAAATCGGAGTGAAGTGGGTGTACAAAATGAAGTACAATGAGCATGGGAACATTAATAAGCACAAGGCAAGGCTATTCGCTAAAGGGTACCCACGAAAGCATGGCATGAACTACACAGTGGTTTTTGCACCGGTGGCAAGGTTGGATACGGTGAGGATCATTATTGCTTTAGCAGCGCAGAAAAGCTGGAAGATCTTTCAATTGGATGTCAAATCAACCTTTCCTCATGGTGAGCTGAGCGAATATGTATATGTTGAACAACTGAAGGGGTATGAGAAAAGTGGCAGCGCACATCTTGTTTACAAGTTGCATAAAGCTTTGCATGGATTAAAACAAGCTCCACGAGCTTGGTTTAGCCGAATCGAAACACACTTCATCAATGAAGGTTTCCGAAGGTGTGACAGCGAGCAAACATTATTCACTAAGAAAAGCAAGGAAGGAAAGACCATCATTGTAAGGGTTTATGTTGACGATTTTAGATTTACTAGTGATGATGAAATTATGTTGTCCAAGTTCATGAGTTCCATGATGAAAGAGTTCAACATGTCGGACTTGGGGAAGATGCGTTTTTTCCTTGGAGTTGAGGTGTTATAGAGGTAAGATGGTATCTACATATGCCAAAAGAAATATGCACTGGAAGTTTTGAAGAGGTTTGGTATGTTGGAGAGCAATTCAGTTAATAATCCAATAGTTTCAAGATGCAAAATCAACAAAGATGAAGATGTCATTACGGTGGATGAAACGTACTACAAGCAATTGGTGGGCAGTTTGATGTATCTCACGGCCACAAGACCAGATATGATGTTTGTCACTTTCCTCATAAGTAGATACATGTCTAAACCTATAGAGCTTCATCTACAAGTAGCAAAGAGGGCACTTTGATATTTGAGAGGAACTGTACACTTTGGAATTCATTACAAGAAAGGAGAAAGTGGTAAGTTGCTTGCATTTACGGATAGCGACTATGCCGGAGATATGGAGGATAGGAAGAGTACAAGTAGGTATGTATTTTTGCTGAGCTCTGGAGCAGCTTCTTGGAGTTAGAATATATAGCCAATAATGACTTTATCAACCACAGAGGCAGAATTTGTGGCAGCTGCTATGTGTGCATGTCAAGCTCTCTGGATAAAAAGGATTTTGAATGAATTGGAGCATTCTGATGGAGGGTGCACACATGTGAGATGTGACAACAGCTCAACTATCAAACTGTCTAAGAATCTGGTGATGCACAGGAGTAGCAAGCATATCGATGTGAGATATCATTTCTTGAGAAATCTTACTAAGGAAGGTACGATTGCTTTGGTTCATTGTGGAAGTCAGGATCAAGTGGCAAATTTGATGACCAAACAGCTGAAGCTCGATGCTTTTCTGAAGTTAAGAGACTTGCTGGGTGTTGGAAAAGTTCCTGATGTAAACTGACTGCAATTTATAGTAAGTTTAAGGGAAGAAATGGAAGGTTATTTGGTTTCCTGGTAGTTTGAGGACCACGTTTCTGTAAGCGTGGGCTGCTTTCTAGCTATTCTGTTTATTTATGTAAGGCTATAAATAGCCACTGTTATTCAATAAAGATTCAATCAAATCCTTGTGTTTGAGTTCTTTGTTCTTGTTCTCATTCCCAACATACATAAAATGAAACTTGACTTTTATTATTAAAAAGTGTTCATTTAGTCGACATTAAAAAAGTGCATTTGACCATGTATATATCATTACGAAATTTCACAAGTTATTACAATTTCATAAGTTGTTCAAGGCACACACTAGTTTACAATCTAACAAGAAAAATTTCTAGTGGACACACCTCCAATACAACGTACCAAATAACTTTTAACTACAGACCCATATTATTTAATTAATTACTGACAAAATAAAAGCATATGTTAGAACTGATATATTTCATTTTGTATGGTTAATGGGCACTGAGTGTTAGTCCATAATGGATATTGAATATCAGTCAGCACTGCTGGCGTGGAACTATTAATCCCATACTGCTCCTCTATCTGCAAAATCAAGAAAATTAATTAATTAATTAATTATGAATAAATAAGTACCTACTAATATCATATCATATTCGTATTACCTTTTCCCGTAAATGCTCGTTTGCTGCTGTCAGTATCCCCTCCTTCAATTAAATATCAAGAATATTGGTCCAGAAAAGTAAGAATTCAAAAAATAATATATGATATCACCGAAAGTAAGTAAATACGTTGGTAGGAACCTTTTTTTCTTTTTAAGTGAAAGTTGGTAATCACTGATATAATCACCTTTGGACATGTCTGATGATGATCATCGACATGATAAAATTTAATTGATGCTATGTAGAATAAAATATCTATAATTATGTCACCTTATTTTTGAGCAACTCGATCTCTTGAAACATAATATCCATCTGTATAAGATGGTCATGGTTAATACATACTGATAAATTGAATTATAATTATCCCACATATGTAGTTGGTGTGTACCTTTGTCGAGCGAATCTGATAAACACATACTTCAAGATGTTTCTCGAGATCATTCAATTCATCCAATGTCGTAGCACCAACTCCTCCACCAGATGTGAATCTACACATATTTTTCTTATATTAATTGGAATTGCACATAATAATTAACAAATAGGCCATGATGAATTTCATGCTATTTGTTTAGTAGAATTCAAATTGTAACTTTTTTATTTTTCAAATGTCTTCAAACTAATTAGGATATTGAGAGTGAAAAATTCCAATCAAATTTAATTACCTCAGCCCTTTCTGAAGCGCATCAATCTCATGCTTCAGCATGCTAATCTCTTCCTTCAGATCCTAGAGGAAATTATGAAGTTTATGAAGTTCTATTATTACTAAATGTATGATACACAATATTAACTGAATAGTAAATAAACAAAAGGTACCAATATTAGTATAAAATATGTTAACACTATCATGTTATCTTTTTATTTTTAATTAGAAACGATAATAATCACTTTATGATTGTCTAAGAGCATCTCCAAAAAAATTTTTAAACATAAGATGCTTTATACTTTAAAATTATGGTTCAATAAACTCTTTAAATTCTTCAAATTTAGAGAGCCAAACATATTCTCTATTAACTAAATGCATTCAAAGTATTTCAATTTTCAATAGAGAAAAATAATATAATAATTTGGAGGGAAGCTAGTGAAAATAAAAGATAAGAAAAAACAATAAATATTTTTTGGGAGTAATAGAATTAAGTGTCAAATATAAAGAGATTGTTAGAGTACTTAAAAAATTTTACTCTTTAAATTTATAAGTGCTCTCTAAATTGCAAAATGTGTTCTTTAAAAATAAACAGTCTCTTGGAGACGCTCTATTAAAATATGTTTCTTTTGATTAATGCATAGAACATTGTATGATTTATTTTTCATTTTTATATTGTCTAATATGCTAAGTTTATAAAGAATTGATTACATTTAGCAAAGTGCTCTTTTAGATAGAATATAATCTATCCAATGCACTATGTTTATTTAAAAATTTTCCTTGCAATGATATCGTTTTTTTTTTTTTTTTTGACTAATAAGATTGTAATATTGACAAATTTTGTTGAACCCATAATTTAAATAAATTAACTAACTAATCTCACTTTTAAAATGAAATCTTTTAAACGAGATGATTTTACACGTTATCTAGATTGAAAAATGTGTGGAATTCAAATCAATTAAGATATATTTTTTATATAAATAATTTTACCCTATTTCTAACAATTCGAATCAAGCAGTCCATACCATAACTTGCTTATCTCTGGGATGCTCAGTTTGAACTCCAGGCGGGTTACACTTCATGTACCTCTCAATCAAACTCTGCATACTTCTTCCATTTTCAAAAACAAGAACACAGACGCAAAATTTTAGACCTAGCTATTTACAAATAATATAAAACTTCATGTCTCAACTTGTTACATGCACAAACAATATTTCCAGAGGCACGAGCAGAGCTCGTCCAAATGCACACAAATTAATAGAGAAGTAGACAGATCTATCAACAAGAGCATGCACAAGCTCTTACAAATGGTTAAACTATTACATTTAAAAGCTTAATATGTGAACAAATATATTTCCTTTCAATACTCCTAATCACATGCAAAATGAACTCAATTTTTTTTATGTAAAATCTCATTCGTGTACAATTTTTTATATATTGAGTAGCGACTGAGATTTGAATATACAATCTCCACTCTAATACAAAGTTAAACCATCTGGTAGATTAGATATGATTATTTGACACGAGCACAACTTTCATAAAATAAATAAAAATCAATTTTGAATTTATGATTTTTGTGTGCTCGGTGTTGTATTGAACCACCTTATAGCTTATAATATTAGAGATGAGACACAGTGATGGGACAGGGTGAAGTATACATACATACGTGTGTGTACGTATTTTGAGAGAGAGAGAGAGAGAGAGAACCCTTTGGTGGCTAGCTCATAGAGCTTTTCATGGGAGGAGAAAATAAGAACTCCAATTTCAGCATCACATAGCACAGATAGCTCCTTAGCCTTCTTAAGAAGCCCTGCACGGCGCTTGCAAAAGGTCACCTGCCGATGCACCGGATTTTCAATTCTCTTCATTTGAATCTTTCCACGAGCCATCAATCTTAGCTTAATTTTTTTTTTCTACAGCTTTCAACTCAATTTTGAGTCGTTTTCTACTTATTTTTCTGCCTCTGCAGACAACCTCCCACTAGTTTGAACTAGCTTCAAGGTTGTTGCGCTCTCCCTTCTCAAAAAAATCCTCCTTAAAACTCACACACTTGTCCTAGGATAGATATTACCTTATATACATAAATTTTCTGATTCTCTTTCCTGTAAAGAAACCATTTGTGCTTATGAAGCCACCTTTACACATCACTAGAAATATTTAATGATCAAATAAAACCATGCCAAGTAAGGTGATGGATTGTGTTACCTAAAGACTATACATGGCTTTAAGCCAAAAAGACGATTATACCCTCAAACGACGACGTGTTGGGACCTCATTTGCTGGTGTTCTATGCAACATCTTGTTGGCCCTCTGTAGAGATGTAGATTTTATAGTATCCAAAGTGGCCATCCACAATGTTGGTGAAGGTTTTGTGTAGGACAGTCAAGAATCTAGTCAGCATGCAATTGGACTGCATATGCATCACAATTGATCTATAGATTAATTTAAACCAATGAGCTGCCCATGTTGGGCTGCTTCCTTTTTTTTTTTTTTTTGGCATAATCACTTTTTTCCTCCTCCCGTGACCTTCACATTTTGTCTCCTTGTGTGTTTTGTGCAACGCTCTAAAAGGTGTAATGTGTGGAAGTCAAGTCTCAAGCCTTTCATCTAGGTATAATAAGACGTTTTTCTAATTTAATATTATTTTAATATTGTAGACCAATAAATAAATTAAAATATACCTTGAAAATTTATAGGAATTTTATACATATTTTTCAAGTTTACAAGAAAAAAAATAATTCTCAAAAACATAAATACTTCAAATTAATAATGTTTGGTTCGTTAGCAGAAAATGCAATGTTCGGATGCTGGGATTGGGTAGGGGTGTGGTTTTTTGTTGGACTTATTTCTTTTTTAAGTTTTAGCAATCGTTGAATATTTTGTTGAGTTGGACTTCAAAACAAAAATTTTACTAGTTGTCAAAAAACACGCATTTTTTTTCGCCTAGATACATCTTACAATATCATCGTAAAATTGACTCTATATTTTTTTCGCCAAAGCGCGAGGTGGGAAATTTAAGAGTCCCAAACCTAGACATGCCTAGACCAGCGTTTTAAAATACTGATTTCGTGGAGTACTAGGATGTGCCACTTTAATTTGCTACCAAGTACTAAGGACTTCATATTTTACTAAATTAAGCTAAATTTACAGAAAAATGGTTCACAGGGCTATTATAGGCCCCTCACTGCTGGGGGGCCCCACATATATTTAAAAAAAAATAGTGCTTCGCAGGCCCCATCTTTGTGTGATGCCTGGCTGTCCCCTGTGAACCTGCTGCCTGTACGTGAAACACCATTCTATTTTACTACTAGAATTTTCATCACTACAATAATTCATAATGTCTTATCACTATGTAACATCAAAAACAAAATTCTTACAAAATAGTTCATGTTTGTTTGCTAAATAGAATTAGACAATATAATAAATAAAATTTTTAGTTTTTTTCTCATATATATCGTCCATCCAATCTTTCTCACCAAACTATTAACCGAAAAAATTTCATATCGAATAAAAATGCAAATAATAAATAAAATAAATGTGAGTGAACTACTCATCTTAGTAAGTTGACTTTTAAAATAGTAATATAGTATCGAAGTCGCCAACCACAATTGAGCATTTCGATCCAATAAGACTCAAACAAGCACACAAATTAAAGACCGTATTTCATTTTTTCAAAAGAACCACCATTTTGCAGGGCCATTCAAACAAATATTAATTCCTAAAATAATTATCAAACAAACTTTTAACAAGATAGAACTTCAAATCTTAATAAAAACGTGTAAGTCTTTTGTGCAGGAACAAATTGGGAGACAAATTAGTGTAGAAGAACATGCTACTTATCAACGGCAACATGGCTTTCGCCTACGCCAATGGGGTTATTCTTACTATTGTCTCTACATAATTTCGTCACTGTTAAGGATTCATTGTGGATATTAATGATTGACATTAATCCTCTTAGATTATAGATATTGTTTGTGCGTATATATCAGGCAGAAATTGAGGATTTAGAGTTATAAATTATAAACGAATGTAAAATCTTTCACTTTTGAAAGCAAGAATCTTGTCAAATCAAATATGTGAGTGCAATAGCAAAACCTATTTAGATATGTATCGCATCTCCACCAATCAATAAATAATTAAAGTAACTTTAAATTTTCATAAAAAGTTTTCATATCTCATATATAATAAGTGGACATTCATCGAACTTAACATGGTCACAAGATGGTTTATTGAAGTACATTAATCTTAGAATTCAAATACTTGTCTTTGTTTTAAACTGATCGAATTGTTCGTTTGAACTTGTTAAGTTGTAATACCATATTGAATCTTGAAGTTCTCAATTAGAATGTCAATTTTGTTAAGAGAAGTAATTCTATATCCTTCTTTCAAACGGTTTAAACTAACTAACAACCTTGCATGTAGATTCCAAAATTCCTATCTTTTGCTTGTGAGAAATAAGAATATTGCAATTCGAAGCAAAAAAAAGAGACCCCTTTTCTTCATAAAAATTAAATTTTAAAATTTAGTGGGTGATCGGGGTGGGGTGTTAAAAAAAGGCAGAAAAGTGCACGACTAAAAATTCAAAAGTATTGTATCAACACAACTAGTTGCATTAATTTATTTTTACTAGCATATTGATGTGAATTCTTGGGAATTTCACTATTCAAAAAGATTATTCCTTTTCATCTTGTATATATTTGTATTCTAATAATCTTTGCTATACTTAAAAGTTGCTTTTCTTAGTAAAAAAGTACGACTTCAAAATAATGATTATTTTGTATAGCTTAAAATGAAGTAACTTGGAATTAAAATTTCGATCTATGGAAACGTTATTATAAACTTAATTTACTTATAATGAACTTTAAAGGTTAGGATTCCATCCACTAGAATCATATGAAAGATCACAAGAAAATACTTATCTTCAAATTTACTTGTGAATATATCATATGCATGAAGGAATGGCAACCACCCGCCGATATATTCTTTAAGATTTTTCTTCCTTTCGCTTTAACATGAATTGTCTTATCATGATTGACAACCCTATTTTTTTTAGTGCCCAATTTTTCTTATACTAATTAATGACAACCACAACTTAATTCTACTTTTCTGAACTTATTTAATTTTAACTATCACTAATAAAAAAAAAGTTATTTATTTTTAAACCTGCCTTTCGGCTTAAGAAAAGTGACTTAAATTTACCTTTATTCCTCAGTATTTTAATATTAATTTGTGTAGCAGATCGCTTAATCTACCAGCATATGAATGTAGTTCCTTGAGTGTAATGTAAATATGCTTCCATACGAGCTTTGTTAGGTCGAAATACCGAACAATGATATCCAATATTACCTGGAGAACCCGTAGATTCGTAGAATATAGAACTTGTACATGTATGAAAACTTGCACCAAGATAAAGATTACTCACAAAAGATGTTGCATATATCCATTTCCATGTGAAATTATTCTTGCAGAAACTGATAAATTTTGATTACATTTGAAGTTTAAGGTACTATCCCTTAAAATCAATAATTTTCTTCAAGAAATGGGTAGTCTGTATAGCCTACGACAGGATCAGGTACATAAAATGTATTCCTGTTATAATGGTTTAGGGGAGCATTCAATGCGAATCTCTTTGGTAAATCAGGATTAGCCAAGAAGAAACGACCAAAGGCAACAAGATCAGCGCGGTTTTCAGCCACGGCGTTGTTACCGTCTTCCCTATCATAACCCCCGGCTGCAATGAACGTACCTTTAAACGCCTTTCTCATCGGTACAAGGTTGTCAGGACATTCCATTTTCTCTATAACATTTCTCATCCTTGGCTCGACCATGTGGCAATACAGAATTCCGTATTTATTAAGCACTTCAGCCATGTAAAGTCCGAGAGCTTTCGGGTTCGAGTCTCCAGCCTCCATGAAATCCGCAAAGGGAGAAAGTCGAATCCCGACTCTGTAAGCACCTACTTCTTTAGTAACAGCTTCAACTATTTCTAGAGCAAGTCGACAACGGTTCTCCAGAGAGCCTCCATATCGATCAGTTCGGTCATTCACTCGATCTTTGAAAAACTGGTCAATTAAATAACCATGTGCCCCATGGATCTCAACCCCGTCGAAACCTATAGGTTGAAAACATATAGCAATCAATCGAGCAAGCGATAATATGCGAGTATGTGATAAGCATTGAAGAAGTAAAAGTAAAAACTTAAAAAGTCATGTAAACATAGAATTTAAATATGGATATTATATATAATCAACTTCAAAATAACACATATCTACATTTAACATTCTAAGAAACTAGTGACAGGACGATAAAATAATCACCAAGTGAAGCATTAGCAGAAACTTCTATCTCACGTTCCTTGGAGACTAATGTACGGCTTTTAACCTAAATACTGCTTTGATATTCCTTCTCACATATTGTGGACGAGTTTTCTTTTATTTATTTATTTCTAACTTATATTTTCTTTATCTTATTGTCTTTTCTACCTCTGCTTTCTTCTTTTTAACTTAGCACATGGTGATGAAATGCATCAGTAGCATCATGTTACACATATTTTTATTCATAACAAACCTACCAATATCTTAACCAAGAGTTATTCTTCAACCAAATTATAAATCAAACAACCAAATTTTACCAGCTTCTATAGCATTTCTTGCAGCAAGCCTGAAATCATTGACAATTTGAGGAATTTCATCAGTCCTTAGCCGTCGTGGAGGTGAAAACTGTTCAACATCAACACCATTAGCTCGAACTTGTGGCGCTAATCCCTTATCCGTACTAGATATTGGAGCCTGCCCGTTGGGTTGAAACCCTGTAAGGCAGTTTGATAAGTAAGTTTAGAGCGGAAAAAAGTCTTGACAGTTAAAGTGAACAGGTGATTGACCAAAAACCAAAGGAAAAGACGTATCCAAGAGTCACCTGTATTTGAAACCCTCCCTACATGCCAAATCTGGCAAAAGAAGATACCACCTTTGGCATGAACTGCATCCACAATGGGTTTCCATGCCTCGACTTGTTCTTTTGTCCATATTCCGGGTGTATCAGGATAGCTTCAATAAAGAAGAAAGTGTATAATGAGGAGATATTTTCTTAAAAAAGAACATAAATATTTTATAAATCATTCTTAATATTCACACAACTGTAAAACTTGATTCTATACTAAAGAGTAAAGGGTGTATTACCCTTGGGCAGTATCAGAAACTCCAGTGGCTTCTGTTAAGAGAAATCCGCCTTCAGTTGTCCTCTGAGAGTAATATAAGATAGCATGTGGCTGAGGAACATTGTTATAGGATCTCTGCCTCGTAAGTGGTGCCAAAACAATTCTTTGCAAAATAAAGGAAATAGTTCAGAAAATCGTCCTTCAAAAAAATTCTCTAGAAGGAATAAAAAACCTAGTAGAAGTAGGTATACATGTTACGGGGACTATTTATTCTTCAAATTGGATAGAAATTAATAATGACATCTCATTGTCAAATGAGAGGTCATTAAACTAACAAAAACCGTCAATTAGAACTATTAAGAAAGTTTTATGGTCCAGCTTCTTGCAACAGAAGAAAACATCAACAACTCATTTACTCTATTGTGAAGAACTATTTCCTGCCCAGACAAAGTGATATTTCATTTACATAAATGAAGACACGCATGTAAAAATGAAAAGAGACAACCACTACTCGTAAGGGAGTTCATACGTCGGTAAATTTTTCAAGAAAGAGTGCAAGCACCTTCTCCTACGAAAATATAAAGAAGCAACTAGAAACTTAGAACATGGAGATCCTGGTTTTAATTTGGCAGCAAGTGTTTAGCGCGGAGATCTAATCAGTAATAACTCTAAAACACCTTCAATAGATATCTGATAATAGTCTTGTTTTTTCCCTCGGTCATTTACATTCCCCTTGACATATAATTCAATTTATAACAAGAGAAACTTTAAGGACTGATTGCAATTACATTTTTTGTGTAGGGCCAGTTCAATTCTAGATCTGATTCCTAACCCGGGACGTATATGCAACAATTTTTTACAATAAACATGCATCGCTTACTGGCCTCTCGGAATTGTTCGATGCTCAGAGTTTACCCAGAAATATTCTTGGCTCAACGAAAACTTTATGATAGCAAACAAAATAAAATCCTCTATTTCCAAAATGCAATCAAGTAAACATTTCTACTAAAGTTCAAGAAACTCTAGCAATTTTTTTGTTTGGACAGTAATGAGGCACAAATTTTGCAGACTAAAAGACTAGTTACTCATACATTCACAAAATTATCAATTTATCCACTTTCAGAAGATACGAAAATGGCAGCAAACTCTGGTTCAGTGGAGTTTGTTTCAAATACTAATTACTTCAAATCCAAATAACGAGTCAATTTTTTCATTGACGCCAAGTTATACAGAAATGAACTGAATTTAACACAATTGTTCGAGAAATATACGTATTCAAAATCTCCTGTAAAATAGTATACAGTAAACAGAAACAAAGAATCCCAAGTGGGATTTCATTTAAAGCAACCGATTTCTAGAAAATTTACACTGTAACATAAAAAACTCCACAATGAAAAGTAGATACCTGTGAGACAGCTGAAATTTTCCCATTTTGTAAGGTGTGAGGAGCGCGATTTGCCCATTTTCTGGTATTTCCTCGGATTTGTTTTCCATGGTATAAAATCCGAACTCTTTGCTTTAGCCTTTATGTACTTTGAAACAGAAGAAAGGTCGAGATTTTACAGTATTTATATGGGAAAAGTGAAGTTTGAATTTCCAATTGCAGATCCTAATAATTATTGGTAGGTGGACTAGTTGCGTAAGCAGCTCCGTCAGCAGAATAGACTGCGGTGGCCATACGTGCACGTTGCACTGAAGGCTTCGTTTGACCCAAAGAAGAATAATCAAATATTAAAAACTTAAAAGCAATGAATGGGGACGAAGAATGGTACCTAAAATGCATAGGGACGGTAAACCCCGGATGGATTCGAGAAATTCAGGATGGAATCAGGTAGGTTTAGTGAATTTGAGACGAGGATTACGTTTTCCATTTTCTCCTCCTCTCCTTTCTCCGTCTCTGTAGCGATTACTTAATGGATAGTCCACGTTTATGAAATGTTCGAAATTGAGAATAAGCAATGACGCAATGTGTTGGGTTATTTCATCGAATGAGAGGAAATCCCATAATTGGGGTTTTATATTAGGGGTACTTACAAAAATACATTTAAAATTAGGAGTGTTTTGAAAAATTATGTGAAAGATTTTTAGAAAGTAAAAAATACTGTGTAAAATAAAAAAGGTGACACAATGTCACTTTTTTTATAAAAATTGTGACACAAACTCACACAAAATGTGACAAAATTCAAAAAAAGTGACACTCTCAAAAAGTGATACAAATTCAAAAAAGTGACAAATACTTAAAAAGGTAACAAAACACCAATCAAAACATATGTCTGTTATAAAAAAAAA